ATGAATGGTTTCGTCTGCAGGACAAACTGAAGTTTGATGTGTCTAACCTAAAAGAAAACAATGAGCTTCTTTCTCAAAACCTTTCTAAAGCTGAAAGTAAATTCAATACTCTAGAAATTGAGCTCCATCACACAAGAGATGCTCTCAGGGAAAAGACTTTGGCTTTAGAATGTGTACAAAGAGACCTAAGTCAAACACAGTGTCAGAAAAAGGAAATGAAACACATGTATCAAAATGAACACGGAAAGCAGGAATCCTTAGAGGAGAGATTATCTCAACTACAAAGTGAAAATATGTTGCTTCAACAGCAACTAGACGATGCTCACAACAAAGCTGCCAGTAAAGAAAATGTCGTAATTAATATCCAAGACCAGTTTCAGGATATCATAAAAAAACTTCAAGCTGAAAGTGAAAAACAAGGTCTTTGGCTGGAAGAAAGAAATAAAGAGTTAATCAATGAATGTAATCTTTTAAAAGAAAGAATGTATCAGTATGAAAAGGAGAAAGCAGAAAGAGAAGTAAGTATCCAGAAAGATAAATATTTTTCAAGCTTTCTCAGAGAAAATTCAAAGTAATGTTTGATTATTATTATTTTTAGAGAGAAAGAGTGCACCTGCACATGAATGGGAGTGGGGCAGAGGGAGAGGGAGAGAGAATCCCAAGAGGGCTCCACATCAGAGAACGCCACCTCATGACCCCGAGATCATGACCTGAATGATTATGGCTGAATTTTGAATCTAGTTGAATATAAAAAATAGAGAGACTCTAATTCAGCATAACTTGTATCCAGTAAATAAAAATTAAGATTTGAGAGGTGCTTTAATTTGAATAAAATTGTTGTGTCGTCTATGAAAGTTTAAGAGGTTAAGTTATCAATTGTTAATAGATAGTAGGCTGATATTAATAATTTAGTCTTATACTGCTAAAATAATAACTTTAATCTTTGTCACCACATTTTAATACCATGATGAATAGATAAATGGAAATGTTCATACCTGAAATGAGCATTTTGAAATTGAGATTCAATTAAGTGGATGGACTTGACGGTTTATTCCAGATTTCCCACATGAACTGAAGTGTAGATGGTGTATGTCAGTACTTTTCCTTTGGTAGCTTTTTATACATCTTAGGTTGGAATAATTTTATTTTTATTTATATAAATTTGAATTTTTAGTCTGAAATCATGTATCTTATGACCTTTTAACTCTTTGCAGGCACTTTTCATTAAATTATAATTTGGGACAACTGTGGTGAGCTTTAGCAAAACTGTTTGATTTAATCTTCCCACTGCTATTTATAATTTTTTAAGGCAATTTTACAAATAATTTGCTTCTTTCAAAGCTCAATTACTATCATTTGGGCATGAGTTTGTCCAATACAAAGAGAATTATATCTGTAATATATTAATTTGGCATTGGATCTCCATTTTCAGATTAACGGGGGGCGGCAGGATTCTTGTGTAGCAGGAATGGAGGTCAGGGAGGGAGGTGAAAGCCAGGTTATCTAGGGCCTCGAAGCCCATTAGAATGACTTCACTTTTGTTCTGAGATAGTAATCTCTTGGAAGGATTTGAGCAGAGGATGGAATATGTGAGGAACTTTGACATTAATTTAAGCCTCTAATAAAAAAGAGGGAAAACATTTCATAATGTTGAATTTACCACTGCTAGGCTCACCTATATACCCATTTCTTTTTGAGTCTTCAGTAGGCTGGGAAGCTTTGCAGATTCATCAACAAGGAATGGATAGTGGGGCTGAATTAATTATCTAAGTAACCTAATACTGACCAGGCAGGAGGATCACACCTGTATGTGGTGATATTTTTCAAAGTACATATGTTCGAGTTACGTATTATTAACATAACTTAATAGTAAGATAATTTATAAAATCAGTAACAGAAACGTCTTATTAGGTAGCCGTGAGACACCTTCAGCTAGAACTGGCTGATGCCCTAAAAAAACAGTCTATGTCAGAGGCTTCACTGGAGGTTACATCACGTTGCCGTATTAATTTAGAAGATGAGACACAGGATTTGAGGAAGAAATTAGGTCAAATCAGACGTCAGGTATGTTTTGAATGTAGCATGTGTCAACAGTTAATCTGTAGCAGGTTAATATAAAGTGTTTTAGGATGCTAATTTCCATGGACCACTTTCTTTTGTATTTTCATTATAATTTAGTGCAATTTTAGTATCTTCACAATGCACTTATTTCTTAAACTTTGACTTTCATTCTTCTATTTGTGTTATACTTTTTTTTTTCTTACAGTATTTACCCTTAGGAAAGTTGAGACTTGTGCATCCCTCACAGAAATTGAGGGACTTGTTTTTTCCTACTAAACAATTTTTTTAAAGATTTATGTATTATTTGAGAGAGAGCAAGAGCACGTGCGCATGCACACGCGTGAGTGCGGGGAGAGGCAGAGGGAGAGGGAGAGAATCTCGAGCAGACTCCTTGCCCAGCACAGAGCCCCACGCCGGCTCGATTCCATGATCCTGAGCTGAAATCATGAGTTGGATGCTTAAGCAACTGAGCCACTCAGTTGCAATGTTTTTTAATGGTATCTCTGTTACCATGATGAGTGAGCCATATAAAATCAGAAGATAATGTTTAATGGAATGTTTCAGAAAATTGTCTTATTTCTCGTGTTCACTTTTATGAATGGATATAGAATCTGTACTGATTTTAGGATAACTTGTACAGAAAAGTCATTTTACAAACCAGTTGAACTTAGGCATTTCCTTCATTTTCTTTTCCTTTTAGATATATTGTAAATGCATAGAAATGTTCAGATCATATGTAGTATATACACCCAAAAGATAGAATTAAGAAATTAAGAATTAAGAAAATTATCTGGGTCCTGCCATTGGATTTTTTTTTTTTTTAAGATTTTATTTATCTGAAAGAGACACAGCGAGACAGGGAACACAAGCAGGGGGAGTGGGAGAGGGAGAAGCAGGCTTCCCGCCGAGCAGGGAGCCTGATGTGGGGCTGGATCCCAGGACCCTGCCCCCATGACCTGAGCCGAAGGCAACCTCTTAATGACTGAGCCACCCCGGCGCCCCCAGTGGATTTTTTAAAAACTTTATTGAGATATAATGCACATACCATACAATTCGCCCATTTAACATGTACAGTTCAATGTTTCTGATGGTATTCATAGAGTTGTGCAACTATCACTGCCATCAAGTAGAACATTTTCATCACCCTGAAAAGAAACCCTTCGCCCTTGAGCCCCCAGCCTCAGGCAACCACCAGTCTACTTCCCGCCTCTATCGAGTTGCCTATTCTGAATATTTCATCTACAGGGAGTCACACGGTGTGTGGTCCTTTGTGACTAGCTTCTTTCACTTCCTCTTTTCAGGGTTCATCTGTGTTACAGCGTCTATCAGTGCTTCATTGTTTTTTTATTGTCAAACAGTACTCCATTGTGGGCCAAAACCCTTGTTCGTTCATCATTTCATGCACCTTTGGGTTGTTTCCCACTTTATGGCCATTAATGCTGCTCTGAACGTTCATTTAATTATTGTCTGGGCATCTGTTTTGATTTCCCTGCCGTCAGATTTCATCCTCGGAGTGGATTGGGTTGATTTCACCCTCTCTCAGCCTTTTCCTCGTGGTGTCCTTTCTGTCCTTTTAATTTCCCTTCCTCTTGCCTAGTCCTACACTGTTCAGACCTGGCTCCTAGTCTCTCATTCTCCATGAAGCTCTCTCTGACTATTCTAATTCCCACGGCCTTTACTGTCTTCACACTCGTCTCATCTAGTCTGTGCAGAACGGTTTAGTCCTTTATTTTACGTTGGTTTTATTTTTTTCATGAGAGAGAATTTTGTCTTTCTACGTCCACGTTTATCTAAGGGGGAAGGTATGGGATATGCATGGTACCTATCCTTGTATAAATTGAGAATATTTTAACTTAACAGTTTTTAGGATAAAATTAAGTACTTTATAGCATGTCAGTAATTTCTGATTGAAAACACTGACATAACAAAGCTTTTATTCTAAATGTATTTGAAGCAATTAAATGTAAAATTGAGAGCATTTAATCTGACAGAGGAGAGGTGTTCAATCAAATGCTTGTTTATTCCCCCTCACTGTGGAAAAACAGTCTGAATTTGCCTTTCTTCATTTTGCAGCCAGTACTGAGATTACTTTACCAACTATAAAGCTCGAGGACAGCTTTTCTTTTTTCTTTTTTCTTTTTGTTTTTACCTCTTTTTTAAAGTTTGTGAATTTATTTATTTATGTAATTACTACACCCATTGTGGGGCTTGAACTCATGACCCCAAGGTCAAGAGTCGCATGTTCTTCCCACTGAGCCAGCCAGGCGCCCCTGGGGACAGTTTTTTCTGATATGCCATACCGCGTAGCCTTAATGTATTCATCAGAGTACTTGCTAAAGTGGTGTAACACAAACAGTTGCTAAGATAATGTAAACATGAAATGATTTGGGAATGTTGATTTAGCAAGAGTCCATTATTTCCACGTCAGTGGCTTTACCTTGCCTCTGATGGTCCTGTAAATATTTATTACTCAGTCTAGGAGGTACTGTTTTGCACTGTAGTCCATGAGATTGTCCACTGAGTAGTATAGAGAGGAAGTAAGTTAAAATTATAAGTGGAAAAAGTACTGTTAGCTAGTGGAATTGGTAAAAGTTTTTTGAAGTACTGAGGATGTATTCTTATTCTGGGCCTCATGCTCCTCATTTGCTGCCCCTTTCAGTGGTAGGAAGAACAATTTCAATATAACTTGTATAAGAGATCACTTTCATTGGCCTGCCATCTGCCTAAAATATCAAATATTTTTAGAACATAACATACAGCAACTATAATAATGCTAATTGCAGACAAAATTTGGTGTGTGCCACTTACCTTCTTTTATTTTTTTAAAGATTTTATTTATTTTTTTGAGAGAGAATGAGAGATAGAGAGCACGAGAGGGAAGAGGGTCAGAGGGAGAAGCAGACTCCCCGCTGAGCAGGGAGCCCGATGTGGGACTCAATCCCGGGACTCCAGGATCATGACCTGAGCCGAAGGCAGTCGCTTAACCAACTGAGCCACCCAGGCGCCCTGCCACATACCCTTCTAAATAGTTCATTTACAGGGGCGCCTGGGTGGTTCAGTTGTTAAGTGTCTGCCTTCGGCTCAGGTCATGATCCCAGGGTCCCGGGATCAAGTAAGTCCTGCATCGGGCTCTCTGCTCTGCGGGAAGCCTGCTTCTCCCTCTCCCACTCTCCCTGCTAGTGTTCCCTCTCTCGCTGTCTCTCTCTCTCTCTCTGTCAAATAAATAGAATCTTTAAAAAATAAAAATAAAAAAAAGTAGGTCATGTATATATCCTAAATTAACTTCCCCACATCCCAGTGTGGTAGATACTTTTATTATCTTCCTTTTACAAAGAAGAAACTGAGACACAGAAATTTTAAGTAATTTGTTCCAGGTCACACAGCTAATACCCAGTGAGTTGGGATTCAGACCCCAGGCATTGTGGTTCCTACGAAGATAATGCCTCTCATACTATTCCATGAAATATCTAGTTGTCACTGAAAGCAACATGTTAACTTTTATAATCCCTGGAATAGCCATGGTCATTCACATATGTGAATATTTAAAATTATAATTGATGTGGTGCTTAGAATACAAAAATGGAAATGTTTACCATAAGGTAATTTCCTATCTTTCCCCCTTTGACCAATATATAAATTTGTAGGTTTAGCTGATAAAATATAATTTAAAAACATTAAACATGTTACATTTTAGTAACTGGAGAAATCAGCAAACTTTTTTGTAAGGGGATTTTAAATATTTTAAGATTTTATTTATTTGAGAGAGAGAGAAACAGATTCCCTGTAAATGTTTTAGGCTTCGTAGGCCATAGGTCTCTGTTGCAGCAGTTCAACTCTGCTGTAGCCATAAATCAGTATGGAGAGGAGAGTGTAGCTGTACCCAATAAAATTTTATTTACAAAGACAGCTGATGATGGTTTTATACTAGATTCCCAGTAGTTAAAATTATTTCTTTTTTTTCTTTCTTAGTTGCAAGAAGCACAAGATCGACATGCAGAGGCTGTAAGATGTATTGAAACGTTGAAAGATCACGTGCAAAAGTACAATTTAAAGCAGCACAGAAAATAACTTGAGTATTTCTAAAGCAGATAAGCAGTGTAGTATGAGAAAGATATCAGTTACGATAATAAGTACATCATTGTGAAGCTGGATAAAAGTTTCAGCTTTGCGCTATTTTGAAAT